TATTATCTAAGATCTCATATCGATAATAATTCAAGTCAATAAGAGTCGAGTTACGCATTACCAAGTTCAACAAGTAGCAAGCGTGGGCATGAACTTAAGCGTCAAGTCGAACAATATTCTACTCACAATCAACTCACTTGGTTTGGACCACAACCCATTATTGTTAAATTTTAGAATTCAGTTATAGCATATGCACTATAATTACAAGAGTGCGTAGTAACATTAAAACACCAAATGGGAGTAATATTTTTACCTTTTAAACTTGGTAAATGTCTCACGAGTAGCCACTAAAATCCCTCTTATCCCTTAAGCCCTGTTCCACCCACCATATTTCCACTTATCTCGGGAGAAAAAAAAAAGTTATGATTAATAAGCTCGGATAAGATATAGATTAAAAATTATACATCCAATAATGTAGTGTTTGGATATAAGGATTTGATTTCAAATACTTGATTTGAAATCAGGAATTTCAAATACTAACATTCAATTCCAAAATTTTTGTTTGGGAAAAAAATTGAGATTTATAAATCCATCATTTCACATTTACTTTACTGTTTGGATATAACTAGGATTTCAATTTTGGAATTGTAAAATTATTAGCTTAATAAATACAACTAAACACTAAGTCAGCCCTTAAACCAAAAATTTACCAAACTGATATTAGATCCTAATTTTCTAGCAATTACAAAGTGAATATAACACCCTAGAAATCCCTTTCCTTTAAAATACTTGTTTTGCCTTTTTAAAATACGAAATAGGAAATTCTAAGACATTACCGCCACCGTGAAAACGGCTAAGGCAAATATCAAAGACACACAGCGGAAGACTCTCCTTAAAACCATTCAAAACAAGTCAACTTAAAAAGTCAAACCAAATGAAAGTAGAGTCAACCAAAGTCAAACAAGGTCAACCCACAACTTGGAACCAATATAGGCCCTTGATAAAACCGAGATAAAACATTTTAAAAAACCTTTGCATTAGTCTCACAAGCAAAATACATAATAATTAAAGCAACAAAACCACATCATATTCCTATGAAAACTAAATATGATTCGCTCTTCACTCATGCCCATCATAAATATGCTTCCACACCTGAAAAGCTCCTCTTTACTTTGTCCCCACTACTCGCCATTAGAAATGGGTCGTCGTAAGGCTAATATAAAGACAAGGCCAAACAAACATACAACACACAATCAGCAATGCTGAGTACATAAGCGTAAACAGTACACACTAACATGCTTTAATCCTATCAACACACAATTTAATTTGATTACGCATCGAACGGGTTTCCCACCAAACCCTGCCCCAAATAAATTGAGGTAAACTACGTCGGGAGCTAACCGGGTAGGCAAATGCCACATGAAGTGACTGGACGTCCTGCACATAAAATAAATAAAAAGGAAAATACAGCGTCCTGTACTCCCAGTAGAAGTCATGGTTAAATATAAAACCCCATAACTCCCCCCATATGCTCATACTCAAGGTATATACGTTCCAAGAGTTTTGGTGTGTAATCTCTTTCACTTTACGTTGTTTACATATGTTTAGACTTGGTGATGACTCTTAAACCATAACACAATCAATCATTATAAATCATTCAAGCAATCAAACATACCAATTTAATTCTTGAATAATTAATGACCATATAATTAAATATTGAACCCTTTTTAAACTACCTCGGTGTTAAATAACACCTTAAGTACATAAGGCACCGCAAATCCTATCCCTCGTTGTTTAGAACAATTTAAGTGCACGTAGCCACTGCAATATAATTTATCTCTGTGTACTAAGACACTTAATAGCTCAATTCCTATGCTTAAAGTATCAATCAAAATTATATGAACCACAATGAAATTATCTTTTCATGTTCCAAACCAAACTTAACATTTAGTTTGATTAAACATGCTCTCAATAATGCCAATAATAAAAGTGTAGTTCATACTCAATATGCCAACATAATTATTTCCAATCATCAATTCACCACAAATAATTTATACTTCACAAATCAATCACCAACATCAATTCAATCAATAATTCCAACCCACACCTATCATGATACTACCTTAAAATTAATTAAACAAAGTCTAGCATGCTTCTATACACTTAAATAATTATCAAGTACGCGAACGTACCTTGAATATGATCTCAAAATCGCCACGACTACACCACTCACTTGGAAATCTCCTACAACCCAAAATTATAAAGAGACATTGATACCTATTCAATGTAAATTTTCAGCAATATATACACTCTTTAAATCACTCATAAACCCTCTAAAACAAGCTGAAAATTAATTTAAAACCCTTACTTTTATTCTCAATTAATGGGTAATTAAAAATCCCTTCAAGAAACATAATTAAAACCTTTATATAAAAATTCTAACTTTATAAAAACATGTAAATTACTGTAATTATGTTTTAAAACATCTAATTTAATAGTTTCAATCGCCTACAATCAATTTCCACCTACACACATTAATTTAGAAGCCTAGGGTTTTCAATTTGGGGCTTTTTAATTCAAAAACCAAATCTGAAAATTATATACATAATAATTATAATCAAACATCTTAAAAATCATCGCAAAACCCAAAAATAATAATTGAATCAAGGTTAAAATAATTTAAAAATAAAAGAAGAGTTTTTTTTTTTTTTTTTTTTTAAAAAAAAAAAACCACATGCACACAAGGGAGAAGAAGGGAGGGTGGCTAGTGCCACCTCCCACGGCTGCTGCTAATGCCGACCCTATGCTTGCGGCGGCGGCCAGCTGTGGTGGTGGTGGCAGCTGGCCACTGTGGTGATGTGTGTGTGGTGGTGTGTGAAAATTAAATAGGGGAGGGGGAAAATTAAAGGAGAGAAAAAATAAGAGGAGAGAGAGAGTTTACATTTGGGTATTCTTCACCTTGGGCAAGATCTAACTTGCTCATAAGATGAATATTTATTTCCTCTCTCTAAAACCCTCCTAAGCTTAAATTCCCTTTCTACCCTTAATGATCCTTTCTCCTATTCAAACTAGTCCTTTGACTTTCTGTAAATACTATTGACTTTAAATTTCCTTTTATAAAATAATAATTTGCTCCAAAGTTTCATATTTGGTCTGGTTTGGTCTAGTTAAATTAAATATGATATGATCTAGTTTGATAGGATATGATCCAATCTAATTTGATTGTCTAATTTGACCAAACGTTAACCTTAATTATGTGTATGATAGTCTATAAAGAAAAAAATATATCATGTTGGTTCTTGTTAGATTTGTAATAATGCATATTTTATTAATATGTAATTTTCATAATTTTTATTTATGAAATTAAAGATACTTAACGACAAAACCACACATAAAACGATAAAGCATTTCATAACTTATTTTTTGAGATCTAATTTGAACTCTTTTTTTTTTTTTTGATCTAAAATAGAAAAAAAAATGAATTAAACATAGCCTTACAAAACTTATTAATTTATTATTTCCTAAAAACATGTACAAGAGGTAAATAAGACTTCTCTTTGAGGACGACACAGGGAGTGGTTAGTTCATATAAGATTTAAATTCTAAAAAATTATGCTAATGATGGTTAAGGGTTACTTAAGTCCATTTTACAACTAAGATAAGTTTCAGTATGGTCTAATGGTTTACTATTTTACAACTAAGATAAGTTTCAGTATGGTCTAATGGCTCACTATTTTACAACTAAGATAAGTTTTAGTATGATCTAATGGTTCACATAAGTAGGGATGTCATTAGGGTAACACAAGATTTTTGCCCTTCATATTCCTATTCCCATCCCCACCTCATATTTTCAACTTCATCCCCATCCTCATCCCATAGTGGGTCTATAATTCGTCTCCATCCCCGCCCCAGTAGGTATAGAAGTAAAACCACCCCTATCGCTCATCCTCCACTTGGGTACCCGTCCCCACCTCAACCCCACTTCACCCGCACCCACTACGCATAAATTTTTCACGGCACACCCGCTTTTAAAACAATTTAGAAAAAGGATAAAAAAAATTATAAACACCTAAATATAGTATAAGTAAGAGTTTTAGTAATTCATTTTTTTTTTAAAAAAGGCAATGATTCAACCTAAATAATACAAATACAATTATCATATCATAAATAATAATGCAAATAAAAGTGAAAAATAGATGAATCTATATCATTTATTGCAAAGTGGGTGGGGTAAAGCAAGTACGAGGCAAGGAGGGTGGGGCATGTAAAACTTGATATCCATTTCCGTTCGACGTTCGTCATCCCTATGTGGGTACAAAATTTATCCATATCCCCATCCACCAAACTTGGACCCGTCCCCATTCAAATGAAGTGGGGATAAGGAGAATCTCCTATTTCAATCGCCTCATTAACATCCTTACACACAAATAAATATTTGGTGAATAGAATGCATCTTTAACGGTTTAGTTGTAGTTTTTTTTCTTATCCTTTCTTTCCCTCATTTTTTTTAATTTTATTGTTTAATTTTTAACAAGCCACGAGCATTTTTTTCCGCGACTCATCATTATCTCTTATTTTAGAATTTCGGTGACCAACTTCGATACAGAGATTGTCATTTCTCACCAAAGAGTGAGATTTAGGAAAAACAAGTTCTACAAAGTAAAGGGTTACTCGGTGTAATTTACAACTAAAATAAATTTAGGTAAAGTTAAATCAATAAAAATAAGGGGAATTAAACATGGCCTTATTTTTTAACAACCCCACTATTGATACTATTAGATGATTAGAATACTTTGCACTTGTTCTACGGAAGCAGCTTTTAAGTGACCCTTTGACTAATATTCCTTCTTTATAGAGAAAATTAGCAATATGTGATGTATTGTTTTTCCCTGCTTATAAGTTACAATATTATTGAATCAAATTCCACATTAATATTACTACAACTTGTTCAAAGCACAAACTTAACTAAAAATATTCATATCAATTGTATGATTATATATATAAAAATAAAAGTGGATGATTGTTGTATACTGAGTGAAAGAGAAAGAGAGTGTTATGAAGATAATTGTTTACAAACAAATCACATGGAGGAGGGAATCTATTCATCCAACATTCATTTGGTGATGAAAAAATTGCGACATATAATTGAAAACCAAAAATTCACGAAAGAAAAGATAAAAATAAGGGGTATTGGGCCATGATAAGTGGTAGGATAATGGGTTGACCAACACAAGCATTATCCAACCCCTAATTTACAAAGAGACGGAGCTTTAACGCAACGCCACAATATTCGGTAAAACTGCAACATAATGCTATAACAGTTTGGAAACAAGTTACCATCATCAGATAATCACGCCCACGGGAGTTATATTTCCATCTTCAACCCTCACCTCACCTCACCTCTCTGTATTCCAACCCAAACCCAACTGCTCTTTTTTTTTTTTTTTTTTTTTTTTTTTTTGTTTATAAATAGTATATTCCTACCTAATTACCAATTAAGAATTTGGTATCGCATCATAACTCTCTTCAATTTCAAACTCTTGTAATTCAATTTCTCTCTCATCGAAGAAAGATGTGCTGCTGTCCGAGTAAGGTCTGCATGCTCTGCACTTGTTTGATTCTGGTTGTTATCGCCATCGGTTTTCTCTTCGGCTTCGGCGTTTTCAAGAATGGTTTCCACAAATTGAAGCATACTATGGATGTTTCTCAGCCTTTAGGCGTCAATTACGATCGCAATTTGTATTATGCTCCTCCTCCTTTCTTTTAATTTTTATTATTATGTACTACTTATTTCGTATTTCTGCTTACAAGGATCTTTTTCAGTGTCATGTTCGATTCATTCTTTTATTTTTGTATCGGATTCTTTTCACCATTCTACTACGGAGTAGTTGTTTTTATTTTATTTTAAATTTAAATATAATATGATGATTGTTTCTTAATTTAGGTCTCTTTACTTGTTAATTACGATTTAGAAGATGATTAGTCTTAACATTAATTTTCTTGATTTTAATTATATTAGGTTTGACTGTTAATTTGATTTTTTCGGTAACTGCTCTCTCGATTTTTGTGTTTGTTCTGTTCATCAGCTTGCGTTTTATTCTGTGCGATCAAGATAATCGATTTGACATTAGTACATTAGTGATGTTCTTGTATACGGAATAGAATACTCATTAGTCAAATAGATTAATACTCATTTATTAATTTGTTTGAGAGCAAAATATCTGGCAACAAGAATACCAAGACTTGATTCATGGGAATGAATAATTTAATTTTAGACTGGATTTGTCGAAACCGAATTCCCCCACCGGTTTCCTAGGAAAGCCAATGTGCAACACATAATAGAGTCGATCACTTCAAACTACAATCGAACAAGCACGGTTTTTGCTTCAATACACCGCAATTTCCACATGATACACGTATATATACTCTATACATAATGGACATCGATTCAATTCAGAATACCTCGTGAATATGGGACTACCTATCCCAACATTACCCGGCACGCATGTATGTCCTTGCTGTTCACTTCAATCCGTAAATTATCAACATTGTTGGGGACTTGTACACTCCCTTTCGAAAACAAGCTCGTCCCAAACTCCCAATGCCTTCTCTCAAACAGTCAATGCATTCCTTAATCCTTATGCAATCACCAAACTACAAGTACGTAGTACAATTTATTGGTTCCTACAATTGCATGATTTTGATCTTCCGTGCATAGCAGCAGCCTTGATGCCAAGAATGCTGCTTGCACATTGTATAGGCTTTTATTAAGTTATATTATTCGTCATTAAATTCGTTATTGTGAAGAGGATATGAGGATATTGCCGTTGGAGTTACACTTTTTTTAAAAAGAGCACTTTCAACATCTATACTCTATGGAGTACTTTACTGTACTACGGAGTACTTTTACTATACAAGTATTTATAGTGTATCTGTTGTTTTTCTCTCCCCTCTTTTCTCTTGAATCTGTACTTTTAATTGTGTAGACTTCAAGGGAATTCTATGCTAGACTAGCTTTGGACTCATAACCAAAATTTCTCCTAGTTGTGGATAGACCCATTGCATAATGTGTCTCAATAGAACAACAGTGAAATTTTAAATCATAATACTTCGTAAATGTAAAGGTTTTACTTCATCCGTATTTTAATAACTGTTACACTTTGACCAAATGCTGAGAAACAACTTTGACCATTAATTTATCTAATTATATGCTAATAAATTATAGGAAAATTGATATTATGAAAGTATACATTATAACGAATCCAATAATATAACGAATTCTTCAAAAAAAAAAAATATAACGAATCCAATAATGTATGATACAAAACATTTTTTTTGTATTATAAAAAGTCAAAGTGTAACACTTATTAAAACACGGAGGGAGTAAAGTGTTTCCAAAGCTCTATTAGACTATGTTTAGTTTGCTTTATTTTTGCTTAGGGCTATGTATACCATTTTTCATCAAATATAATATGAACTTATTTTTTCTAATATGATTTGATATAATTGTTTGATTTGACTATACTTTAACTTTATATGTACCTTAATGATTTTTTTTTTTTTGAACAACAATGTACCTTAATGATTTAATCCATAATGAAACATATATCAATTGAGGGTCTTCTTAGAAAGTATTAACGTGTGTACTTTTCCAATTATGTGATCTTCAAATTCATAAGTTTTTTTCATTATGGAAAATGTAGTTACCGATAAAAAGATTGCATGTAAAACAAAAAATGATCTAATATTAGATTAGGTCCTGTGCCATGCCCAATAATTAATTTCACTATTGTTTATAATTCAACACAAAATTTTTAAAAAACAAAAATAAAATATTTTGTATAATTGCATGTGGACAAAAAATATAACCATAGTTTTTTTTTTTTTTTTTTTTTTTAATGAAATGAAACATGAGATATAATGACAACAGAATAATTAGACAAATAAGTTTAAAATTTTAATGATAAATGAATATTGTTTTTCTTTTTATTAACTAAATAATTAAGTATTTTAAAATTGTACATTAAACACTATGGGATTGTAACATAAATAATTACTACAATGTATTATTTTTTTTTGAAGAATACTACAATGTATTTGATACACTTTAGGAAAGTGGAAAACATATCTAAATTGTCATGCTTTGGATATACATTAAAACTAAAAATTAAAAATAAATCAAATAAGATTGATATTGTAAAAAAAAAATGCTATTAGGAAGCCATTTCCTAATAAGAAATTAAAACATTTTGAAATTTCTAAATAGAGAATATATGAATAACAAAAGAAGGCTTAGGGAATAATAGTAATAGTAATAGTAATAATCAAGTATGAATCAATTATTTCTAAAACGCATAAATAAATTACTGCATATATAATATATTGAAGATTTGAAGGAATAAAATACTGCATAAGGATTAGGAAATAATATCTACTCCATATATATACAAAGTAATATACGTTAGAATAGTATTTTATGGAAAATATATGAATCACAAATATATATATTTATTTTGTTTAAGTAAGTGAATGATTTGGTGAATATTTTTAGTATATTTTACAATAAGTAGTTGATGTCACCGTGGAAACAAACTTAGAGGAAAAAACGGTACTCCCTCCGTTCCTTAATTAGATGCCTACTTCTCTATATTATGTGAGTAATAAGTGCTAGAAATAGGCACCTAATAAAAGGACGGAGGGAGTACCAAATTGTGACATGTGTTATTTCTAGAGTCGATTTCTTCCTAGTGTCTGTTTTAATATTACGTTATAGATTGAATAGTATAGATATATAATAATAATAATAATAATAATAATAATAATAATAATAATAATAATAATAATAATAATAATAATAATAATAATAATAATACGGACACCCTGCTACACAAGATTCTAAAGCCAAAGTACTTTTAAAACTGCGATGTCTTGGAATCAAGTGTAGGTTTTGATCCCAGTTACGTATGGAGAAGCATGTGGGGGGCGAGATCATTGCTACTGGAAGGGTTGAAGTGGAGGGTTGGTAATCGAAGCGCAATTAATGTATGGAGGGATGCATGGCTGCTTGGCAATACCACTGCATTGGTCCCTACCCCATCAGTTGATAGTGATCCAAATTTGAGAGTGATTGAGCTAATTGACCATGACAGAAATTCGTGGGATGGGGAGGCTGTGAACATGACTTTTATCTAGGCAGAACGTGGTGTAGTTCTTTCTATACCCTTCTTAAACAGAAGCCCGAGAGACACGATGTTCTGGTGGCCAAGGAAGAATGGCGAGTATATTGTGAGATCGGGGTATTGGTTCGGGAAATCCGGGGGATTACTAGATGTCATCAATACGTGGGATGAGGTGTGGAAGCTAATATGAAAGCTCCTCTGAAGGCGCGTCATTTCTTGTGGAGGGCTTGCAAGGTGTTTCTGGTAGTGCGTGAAAGGTTGCTGTATCGACATATTTTAGATGATAAAATATGTTGAATATGCAGGGGGAGGGGAGGAGTCGGTTATCCATACTTTGTTTGAGTGTTTGGCTGCTCGTGAAATCTGGGCTAGATAGCACGCTCAGGGAGGTCTTAAACCAAGCCCCTACGGAGAGTTTCACCATAAGGCTCCTCTGGCTGAAAGAGAAGGTGTCGAAGGAGGGTTTGTTGGAGATTGCAGTACTTTGCTGGGAAGCGTGGTCTTGCAGAAACAAGGCTATATTTGCTAATGAGACGTGCAATCCGAAAATGCTGGCAGCAGGCCAGGCTTGTCAAAGATGGTGTATGACTACAACCTTTACGTTAAAATGGTACAACCTCCTTCTATAAAGCGTAAGGCTCTTCCTGCTGCTACCTATTGGAGCAAGCCTCTGATTGGGGTGATTAAAATAAACTGTGATGCCTTCGTTAAGGACACAACCAAGCTAGGGGTGGTAGTAAGGGATGACAGGGGCGCCATCATTGCTGCTGCTGTAAGGAAAGGGGGAGATGGTTGGTCTGTTGAGGTAGCAGAGGCTGCAACAATGGCTTTTGGCTTACAGATAGCGAGAAGACTGGGGTATACAAGGATCCAAGTGGAAAGCGACGCATTGAATGTGGTTTCAGGGGTCAAGCTCAAGGCTAATGGATGCTCTCCTTTCTTCCTTATAATAGATGATATTATAGCTCTCTCTTTATTGTTTGACTTCTTTTCCATTTCGCATGTTAGAAGGTCAGGAAATACTGTAGCCCACTTAGTGGCAAGGTGGGAAACAAATAACTGTGATGAGTTGGTTTGTTTTGGTCCGTTTCCGCAAAGCTTATTGACTTTGGCGGAACTCGATCTTTCTTAATAAATTTTCCTGACGCTTTCTTAAAAAAAAAGATATGAAAATATGTGAATCACAAATATAATAAAGGATTAGTACTGAAAATTTAATCAATGAAAATAATTAATTACATTTCAGTATTATTAATTCAAGTTTAGCAAGGATTCTTCAAAAAAAGTGTTTCATAAGCCAGAAACTTGACTATTTTCGACCCTTTTCCGTTATTTACTTTATGTTTTTGTTATTGAAATCAATAAATTTGCTTCTTTGAGCATAGTAAATACCCCTATAGTGGGTTTCAATGCTGCCAGTGCCCCTGTGGTGGGTTTTGTTCAAGTTTTGTTTTGAGTTTAGTATATTACAAGTTGTTTCATGGGTAAAAATTTGTGTGGATAAAAAAAAGAGCTTAATCATTTGATTACATTAAGATGAATCAAACGAATACTTTCTTCACAACTCAACAGATCGATAGATCCTCTCGTCGAAGAAAACTGTAAATCACAGTAATATGGAAGAGGGTATAAAGAACGTATGATTTGCAACAACGATCGTAGCTTTGCTGAAAGGATATTTTTATTGATTCAAATTTCATGTATTTATTACATATAAATCTATTTGTAGATATCGTATGAGTTTTTATTTATGAATCAATCTTTATATATATATATAAAAAAAATTTATGTAATCTCCCGTAATTTTGTGAAATTTAAAATTATATTTTAACATATTTATGTGAATATTTAATTATGATTATTTATTTACATAATTTATTTTACTATGATTTAAGTAAATAAATTTAATGTTTATAAAGTTAATAAAATTATTTGACTACCCATATTTAAATGATGAATTATTTCACTTTCTTCCATGTTCTCAGTCTAGTTCCTTTAGAGGGTGAGTCATCATAGTCCATGGTTTCAATTTGCTAATTAGCTGCTCCTTCAGTGATGAGATGCGCCCCCTTGTCATAGTTAGCTTGCCCATCATTCAAAGCAATACTCAACACAGAAGCATGTGTTGCAGTAACATTGTTCTCCTGTTGGGGGTTGGCTGCACCAGTATTTATAGTTTCCTTGTTATTTTCCACCTGCTTTGGAGCTTCTTGGCTACCCCTGGTGGCCCTAACTTAATTACGTATAGATCACTATATCTAGGGTGCCTGGATGTATGTTGCTCTTTAATCTTTTTCAGCAAATTAGCCTCCCGAATGAGGAGAGCCGCGTAGGAAGGGTCCGCATTGGAATATGACTTCCTCCTTTGGGGCTGCATATGACCGCAGTAAAAGCAATAGTCAGGCAACCTTTCACATTTCAATCCTACCCATTTTGAAGTGGAAGAACCAGCAGCAATTCTTAATCCACGCCGCAAAGGTTTGTCTATCTCGATCAAGACTTTGATACGCATGACCTGTCCCCAGCCAATAGGATCCGAGTCATCGTACTCAACAGTTTCCCACCTCCATAGCAACTGCAGCAGTTCGTTTGTTGAAGGGAACATCCTCAAGATGTACCTACAAAGGGGAGTGCGCGAAGGAGACTTCAGATGGCTGTTCATCTCCAGCAATCTCTTTTAATTATCAAAAAACCATGCAGAGCACGGTCTTTCACTTCCACATTGAAAAATTGGAAGACAAACAGATTACATTCTACCATTCTAATAGCAACATCTTCTTTTGCTCTCCACACCGAAATCAGGGTTCGTTTTAGAGCATCGACATTGAAAGGTTTATTGGTCAGTAATTTACCAACCAATGTTAAAGAAATTTGGGTATCTACATCATTCTCAATCGAATCACTAGCCGTACTGCCTATAATTTTGGTTTCCTCCTCTGTCAATTTTAAATTCTCCCAATCTTTGATCAATTCCGACTCCATGGAACCGCAAGGGGGATCAGGAATCAGCAAAACAAACGGAAACACAACCTAACCAGCGAACAGAGCAGCCTTAAACAGGGACGAGGCATTAAGTCAACGAGGAACCCTAGAGCGAGGGATAGAATCCTTTTGCGTTTTCTCTCGGCCTTAATGGGGTTTGAGGTTTATTGAACAATCCTTCTAGTCTTCTACTATTCGATTTGTTGATTGTATGGATTGTCTTTATATATAGGCCTTACATATTCTTACAATGCATATTGTGGACTCATAATGTTGTTAATGGAGTAATACTTGTAAAAATAATGAGACTTTTATTTGAAGATGAAGAGTTTTTTAAGGTATAAGTTTTGGATTTCTGTTAAAAAAAAAAATATTTCCTCCGTTATTTTAATATTGCATCACTTGTCTTTTAGGGAAGTTTCACAAATATTACATCACTTTCATTTTAGGATAAAAAATATCTATGTTTACACTGCAATAACCAATATACCTTTACTTTTTATTTTATCTTTACATACATGGACAATTTTGTAAGCCAAATTTTGCCTCCAAAATCTTATAGGTGTTGGAACTTTGTAAGTGTCTAGGAATATGTTTTTTATGATACAATAAAAAAAAGAACGGAGGAAGTATAATTTTTGAATAAATTTATCTTATAAGTGTTGTAACTTTGTAAGTGTCTAGGAAGTCTTTTACTATTATTATGGCTTTTATTGAAAAGAATTCAGAAATTATCCAAAATTAATTCAAGGGCAGTTGAAAATTAAAGAAGTAATCTTGGAGAAGAAGAAAACAAAGCACTCGTAGACTTCCTAAATAGTTGTGTTGGAACTTGGAACTAATTACTTTTGTTTTTTAAAAAAAGGTAAAGGTTGAGTTTTAGAGGGTGGTGGGAAAACTCAGAAAAAGTGTACGATAAGAATTAACAAGGTGAAAAGCTTTGCCAATATTTATACGAGTACTGAGTACTAGGATTAACTTATTAAAGATCAACTCTTACACTATAATTTTTTATTCAGGTTGTGCAATAATTCGAGATTTCGTAAAATTGACTACAGATTCAATTCGTTTCAATAACAAGAAGAAGAAGATGAAGATTACAGTAATGACCGCCGATGAGAAATTCATCTCCTTAGATGTCGACCCCGACGAAGCTGTAATCCACACTCTCTTCTCTTAAACCCTAATTTCAATTTTTGCAATTGAATTTCTAACTAATGGATCTTGATCGAATTTCGCAGGTCGAAAACGTCAAGGCTTTGCTTGAAGTCGAGGTACAATAACCACCACCAATCTATTCCTTTTAGTTTTAATTTGATGAAATTGAATTGTAGTCGAGTAATTGGTTTTGATTTGGGGGAGCAGAGTGGGGTGGTGTTGCAGCAGCAACAATTGATGTACAATGGCAAGGAGATGAATAATCATGACAAACTCAGTGTACTTGGTGTTTGCGATGGCGATTTGATCATGATGCTTTCTAATGCTGCTCCGCCTTCTCGGTATTTTTTCATATTACTTTGTTTATATCAAAGCTCGTCTTACAAGTACTTTTTTCATTAGAAACTCTACTGTAATTGTATGATGGAGTTTTGACTGTTAAAAACCAATGTTTGATTGATCACAATTATGTTTACCCCTCAATTTAGGGATGTTTATTATAGCACAATGTTGTTATGCTACTATTGGAACTGTTACAATATCAAATTATGACGATTTTTGTAAACAAATAATCCTTTCTATATAATCTTTTACTCTAACTTGTATCTTTGCTCCTGTAGTCCATCTTCAAGTGACCTTGCCCTCAGTCCTGATGGTTCTGCTGTGAACCCTGCTGCTTTTCAGCAGCAAGTTCGTGCTGATTCTAATCTGATGGCTCAGTTGTATCAGGTATTCATGTGTTCGTATCATATTCTTTGATTAGATAGCAATTGCTAGACGACTAGCAGAGCAAAAAATATTTAGCTTTTGATTGGTCTCTTATCATCTTGTTAAGTTGTGGAATTGGAACTATTATTCTCGTTTTTAAATACTTTGTTCTTGTAAACCTTTATTCAGGAAAATTAGTGATTTAGGCTGTTCTATTTAATGTAAATTGTAAACTAATTGTTTATTGTTCTTGTTGATTGCCATAGAAGCATATTGTATTGAGAGTTGATTTCCTTGCACGAAGTGCATAAAGAGCAAGTTCATGCATGGAAATTAACTCCTAATACATATCTGTATTACACTTGTGTAAGTTTCTTCCTTTTTTTATTCTTATTTTTTGACCTTTGTGTGCCTATAAAACTTGCAGAGTGATCCTGAACTTGCTCAAGCCATATCTGGGAATGATCTAAATAGACTGCAGGAGATTTTGCGGCAACGCCATCATCAAAAGACAGCATTGAGGCAAAAAGAAGAGGAGGAACTTGTAAGCAGACTCTTTTTGTAGCTATCTTCAACTATAAGGTCAATTCATGTGGTTTCCAGTGAACTTTCTTCAGTGGTACGAGGTTTAGTATAGTACTAAGGAGATGTTTGGTTTGTAGATTTAGGTATGAGTAAAATAATCATATCCGAACAACTGAACAACAATCAAACGCAAACTGTTTCAATCAAGTTCCAAGCTCATAATACCCTGGTTTCATTCTTATTTCCAAACCCATACCACTTTGTGAACCAAACGCCTCATAGTAGAGCTCAACTGAATAGCTATTCCTCCACACCTACATGCCATTGTACTTTGCCACGTTGTGTTCGCTTAGATATTGTCTGATTTATAAGTTGTGCAGGCACAATATATAAGGCTATAGGATATTTTCAGTAAGACCGTACTTATCCAATGAAATGGTGTTTATTACTACTGCCTTGATGGCTCCGTTCCCTAATGTAAGGCACCTTGCCTGGTTAATAATGCAATTTTAATTTACATTTGACTACTAATTTGTCATTAACTATAAAACAACATCAAATCCATAGTCCCAAATCAGGTCGGCTCCTTGAACCAAAGATAATATCTCCACTGGTCATTAACAAGAATCTTCTTCCTCCTTTCACTTCAATTTAGTGTGCAAGCCCTATATCTTCATATCATTTTCAACTCCTTTGAGTCCTTTCATCTAAACCATCTTTTGGCCTCACTAAACTTATTTTAAAATCCTCATAATCTCA